AATGACCCATCAATACAATAAACAAAGGCAGAGGTATCGGTAGTGTCAGCGGTTCCAAAAAAGTTTTCATCGTAACTGTGTGATAAGTTAGTGTGTAAGTACTAAACAGGAATTATTCTGTTTGCAAAAAAATATACTTTTTAAATATCATCTCAATGTTTGAAAACACCTTGTATTTTCAATTATTCTTGAATAATAAAAAATTATTTTTCATCATAATATTTGACCGTAGAGCCCGTATGAATAGTTGTGAGTAAAATATTTTCATTTTTGTTTGATTTGACTTAATTCACTTCTAAAAGTTATATATCATCTGTTAAACTAAAAGAAAGGACAAAATATGTCTGAGCATGTTCAAAACGGATGGAAACTTGTAGACAAAGATAATGAATCGAAGCAGAATCGAAGAAATACAATACTACTGATGTTTTATAAATTATTGTAAAAATATAAAAAATTGAAAAGCTGTATCGTGTACTATGCAACAACGAAATATCAAGAAACATCAAACGAATATATTATCATTTTTATTGATTGAGCTAACACTAATAAACTTGGAAATGAGCAAAATATTTAGGAAGAAAAATTCCTACAGACAAACGAATAAAAGCTATCATATACTTAGACTTATAGACTTATAGATTTACAGATTTAGACTTATACTTGTGAAGTCGCTAAAATAGAAAGAATTTCAAGGAATTTGGAAATAAGTAAAAGGAATACAAAATACGGAAACATTCGAACAAAAGAAATTCAAAAACACTTGAATAAGTTGTGATTAGATTTAAGAACATAGGTATATTATTCTGTGACTTATTTTTGCTAATTTGTATTCAAGTAAAATAAATTCTATGCAATAATGAAAGTGGAAAGGCAATAAAATATTTCTTGATTTGCATGCTTCCTTTACAGTTGTTAATATTTGCTTCTGGATAGTGAAGTAAATATATGTGTATACAAGCCTTAAGTTGTCTATTGATATGCTGGTAATAGAGGACTTACTCTGACGTTCCCACAGCAGAATGAAAGCTAAAGTAGTTATTATTAATCTTGCCAAAGGTGACACCAACACGTATTGAATCCATGTATATTTAACTACAAAGATAAGTAAACCAAGAGGCAAATAAATTTTAATGACAAAATGGATTACGTTTATAACAGAATACATCTATTTATATGTTCTCGCAGTTTATCTTTAGGTGGGTTTTGAAAAGTCAACTTTCATGCTTGAGTTAAAACTGTTCCTCCTCAGTACCACGTCAAAACTGTAAGAATAAACTGGCGCGACAGTGTCGCTTAAAATGATGTGAATATTAATAATATTTGACATGACCGGAACTTTAATTGTCCTTATTTGAGAAGTTTTACACTAACTAACTTGCATCTATTCTACATCACATAATATGTTCTGTAAAGATAATGTACTTGAACTTTGTTCTGCGATGTCCGAGAGGTTCGTTAATTTTTATAAATCAGATATTGCAAATATGTCCTCTATAGAGGAAACATAATATATATAGAGACCGTAATAATATGTTATATGTTCAGTATATCAATGATGATATATTAAAATGAATAAAAATAAAGCTTAAATTGACAATGGGACCGGATAATGTTCCCAGTTTTTTTCATTCGTGGCTATGCATACATTTTTTCTCAAACATTTAAAAATAATTCTTAACTGAATTATAACTACCAATAAGATACCAGATGTTTAAAAATTATTTAGCGTATATCCAATTTTTAAAGGTAATGTTAATGATGTTACTATAATCGCATTAATAAGTAATTTTAGTAGTGCATGTCATGTTCTATAAAGTATACGTAAATGTCTTAAAAATGTAGCTGTTTACTATATATCAACGGTGCTTTTCCATACTGAAAGCATGTACTCGTAGCTTTGCAGAGTAGTTGCTTCCTGCAATGACATTACAGAAAAATCTTTGAATTATTAACTGTCTCTACAATCATGTAAAGATTATTATCCGTAGCAACCAGGACGGTTTTACGTAAAGTCCCTGCACATGAACACATATATTATTTCTTAAATAATATCTCACGGAAGCTTACTGCGTGAGCTTAACAAATATGGTCTTTTATTGCTTGCCTATAGTATCTCTTTTAAATTCTTATCTTTCTGACAGACATTAATGTGTATGTTACGGAAGTTTCTCTGCGAGGCATTTTTCAAATCCTACCCGGTGTTCCTCAGGGGTCAACGCTGGGTGCATTATAATTCCATAATTTCATTAATAACCTTGTTAGCTATTAAAACGTTCTTCATTTCCTATATGATGATATAAAAATCTATTTAAGGATAAATACTTTTCATTACTGCGTTGATCTTTAGGAAAATCTTATTGTTAATAGACTTAGCCTTTAAGTTGTCGATACTTACCTCTAACAGTTTTCCAGAAAAATCAGGTTCTTTTCTAAAGTCCGAAAAAGTAGCTAGGTATTTAGGATTTTACAAGAGTACAGCACATCATATCCTTATCGCATCCAATTACACCAAGAGTTACTAAAAATAGACTTTCAGCGGAGACTGGAGTTTTGTCAGTGGGCATTTGAGATGTTAAATCAAGATGATGATTTTTTTAAACGGGTCATGTTCTTTGATGAGGCTACTTTTCATAAAAATTGTTATAATTGCCATTATTATGACACAGTAAATCCTGACCAATTCCGGACAACTCATGGCCAACGTTGGTCTTTGAACGTGTGGGGAGCAATTGTGGGAACATTGGACCATTCTTTTTTGACCAGCATCTAACTGGAGCGATTTGTTTAAACTTTTTAACAAACACTCTAGAAGATTTATTAGGCGACATTCCTTTAGCTACACTTGGAAGAATATGGATGCAACACGATGGTGCTTACGCGAAACTTTTTCCAACAGATGGATTAGGCGCGGGGGACCAGTGAATTGGCCTTCCAGGTTCCACATATGACAAGTTGGGACTTCTTTTTTTTATGGGAATTTATAAAAAGCAAAGTTTACGTTGCACCTCCAACTACCGCTGATAGTTAGTAGCATTTCAAGATTCAAGAATTACACCAGACATGCTAACTAATGTTGAACAGTCCTTAAAAAACCGAATTGATGTAAATCTAAGTCTAAGTATTCTTCTCCTTGTTATGTTCGGAGTTTCAGTTTGTTTCGTTTTGCGTTTTGTTTTAGTTGTTGTTAGTGGTTTACTTTTGTTTGTCAAACCACTTTTTAAACATGCCAGTAAATATTGACACTGTCAGACCCAGGTCTGATAAAATGTGAGAGAAAAGTGGTTTTGCAAGGCCTTCTTGACGCTGTTACATAGCTACTTTTTCAGACTTTAGAAAAGAACCTGATTTTTCTGGAAAACTGCCAAAAATAAGTATGGACAACCTTATATCAGTCGAAAAGACATTCAATTTTACATTCACCCATGATAATTAATATGGGTCATTCCACTTTAAAAAAAGTTTTTTAATTCGTAATATTATTAAATATATAGGTCTCAGTATTTCCGAGTCTGAATACCGTACACGTTTTGCTTACAGATGATAAGATAAAGTAATTTATGCCAAAATGAACTGTGAAAACTGCAGGTTTCTAATTCTTACTGATTAGATGCTGTCTAGCCTTATTTAGAGAGCTGAAATCGTGATTTTTTTCGAAAACAACTGAATATCTCGAAAAGGGCAAGTTTTAAACGCCATGTACATTTAATAAACTCTATATTAACCAAGAAATTCAAAAATGCAATAATATACCGGGTGTTCAATTTAAAATAACATAGTTATTATGTAACGCCCACGCGAAGTGAAACACCCTGTAAAGCTAAACATATTTTTCTTTACATGGCCCACATGATTCCAGGCATCTATTATTAAAACCATTTTTTTTTTATAAAATTTACAGTTGCAGAGTTACCGAAGAATCCCTCTTAGGTGGAAAAACCGCTATATATTAAGAAATTATTTCTAACGTAAGTCAGTTTGTCTAGATATATTTTATTTTATTTGTCATATATTGTAACTGTATCTATTTGTTATTATCTATGTGTTTTTTATTGTATTCCCATTATATCATATTTGTAAGTTTCACTCTTTATTGGTCTCTAATTGTTTTGCTCCAACTGAGCAGGTGTAATTAATTTTAATTGGATAAATGAATATTTAAATAATAATTATGTAAATATGAAATAAGAATCAGAGAGAGAGAGGCTTTACCCTTTTTTCACTCTTTCTTCTCCTTGCAACAACAGGTCCATAGCGTTTATGAATTGTATCGTTGTCTAAAAACTCAATTTTAATAAAAAGGTTTTCGGTTTTTGCGTCATAGTTTTCAGTTCTCCTTAACCTTAAATGTATATTTCGACACAAATTTTTTATTCAGATGTTTTCAAATCAAGAGTTTAAACTATTACAGACGTCTACAACAAGATAATACAATTATAAACAATTTATTATGGTAAATTGTTATGAATAATTTGAAGATATTAGGAATGGAATCATAAGAAATATATGTAGGAGGAGAACTTAAAATGATGTCTGAACGAAGTTTGTTTTTGATTATCGACATAAGTAACCGGACCCAGTTTTGCGAAAACGCACTTAGCGAAGTGGTCTGGAAATTTATCAAGATGTAATTTCCCTGAAGCGTCCTACCGTACCATCCAACCGATTTTGGACCGGAAAGATATCCATTACAAGCTGGCTAGCGTCCAACATGTCCGAATGAAAGCACAGTTATTGTAAACCATGTCGCCCCGGACCTACAGCGACTAAATGCTCCAGCTAAAATCATTTTAGCTTCTATTCATAAGAAGATTTTAACGATAGACTGTGGTTGTCTGTATCTTAACAGAACTCACATGCATAGTACGTAAATAATTCTAACCATTATTTTTTCAGCTTACTTAAACACTGTCAGATTTTCATTTGAAACGCAATTTGATTAGTTACCTTATACCAATAAGACTTTTGATTGATTAGTTTATACTTTTGGATTAACTTACCATCAGAATCATCATCATCATACCACGTAGTAGAGTCTTTCTTCTCCAAATCCCTTAGACATTTTAAACAGAATGTATGAAGACAAGGTAGAACACGGGGATCTACATACTGCCTTCTACACAGGGGACATTTGAATTTGCTTTCGTCTGTGGCAAACCCAACTACGCTTTTTGCCCTTGGGGAAGTCGTTACGGATTTCTTCGACTGGTGTGGGGTAGATTTGGAACGGTCGTGGAATACCTTCTTGGTGGGCTCTATGGAACGTCTCTTGGCAGCACCTGCTTCGTGGCTCTGTCTTCTCCTGGCGAAGCTGCCGAATATGTAGGATATCCTGTCGATGTCCATCATTATGTCTTGAAAAAAAATAGCTACATAAATATATATTAAGAATTTTAAAATATCATTTCATATTATTGGAGCAGAGAATCTAGAATTTCCTCATTTTTTAGTTAAATATGGAATGGTGCTAATATTTTATTTAATCATTAATATGGAAGTTTGTGTTTAAAGATAAAAAAATATTCCGTCTTTATTATATAATAACTAAGCAATATTAGGGAGCGTTTTAAAAAAAATAAAAAAACGACATCATTAGTACTCAAATCATATTGCTGTTTTGAAGCGTAAATCAAATGGGTAGTGGCTTAAAAAATCAAAAATTTTTACTAATATGTCATAAAGTTTTTGACAAAAACCGAAGATGAAACATTATTAATTACAAAAGTAGCCCTGATTGTTAGATTGAGTGGAGCCTGTAGAAGACAGGATTTGACAGATTTGTTAATAGAAAATGTTATAGACGAAGGCTCCATTTTTCAAATTATATTGTCACATATGTCAAACAATAGTTTTAGAAGATTTTTTGGTCTTTGCAATTTGCTGAAAAGTATGTTACGATGTACCCGATCAATATAAACCATAACCTTTTTTTTCTTTATTTTTTGTGGAAATATTGAATGTACGAAACGACCAGTTCGAATTCATAGTTTGCTAAAATGCCAAAAGAAATGACATCTTTTTTATCCCGCTACATCCAGAGGAATATACAAAACATTTGCTTGGCTTTTATAGCAGATTCTGGTGCCTATTTGTCCACATTGAAACAGTACGCAGGTGGAAAAGCTAGCTGAAAGATAAATAGAAAATCCATCGAAAAGTAAAATAGAAAATTCATCGAACAGAAGAAAAGAATTTCAGCCATTCTTGGAGACCCTGGTGACATGCATGTTCAAATACAACAAGAAAATCAATCTACTATGACTAGTTTAAGATCAGCATCTATCATTAATTTAACAAACTGGAATAACTGCGTTTTTAATATTTAAGTACAATAACAAGTTTAGTTCACATATAGTTTCATTGTTAATATACTTACTATAATGAATCTTATTATAGTTCCAGTTCTACAAGGGGTCCCGAAATTAATGCAACAGAACTTGGTCATAAATTCTTAAGACAAATTTAGGGGACCCGCATTTTTTCTTTTTGTCAACTCTCTTTCGGAGTTACAGCGCCCTGAAATCTGTCTCAGGACCCTGTTGTACGAAAATCGCTAAATTTGGCACACAGGGGTTTTCTAACATGTGGAATCTGATAGTGCTAGGCTTTTTGGCTGGGAACCCCCTTGTGACACTTTTTCGTGGGCCCCCTTGTCTTTGAAACCAAAAAAATTTTGTCGCAAATATGAATTTCTTAAAAATTATTAGTTAGCTAGAAAGCCATTTAATTTAGAAACTTTTTTGTCCCTTGATATTTTTTTCTTAAAACGCACAATGTTTTTGAGGAAAATGGCGAATCACGATTTGGATTCGATCACATTTTGACATTTTTCTCGTTGCGTTTTACGAAAAAATTATCAAGAGACAAAAAATTTTCTAAATTTAATGGCTTTCCAGCAGACTAGTAATTTTTAAGAAATTTAAATATGCAACCAAATTTTTTTGGCTCCAAAGACAATGGAGCCCACGAAAAATTGTCTTAAGGGGGTTCTCCGCGAAAAAGCGTAGGGTGCTAACTGATGGTGATCAGATTCCACATGTCATAAAATCCCTATGTACCAAATTTAGTGATTCTGGTACAACAGGGTTCTGAGATATAAAAAAAATATTCTTGGTAAAAATAAAAAATACGGGTCCCCTAAATTTGTCTTAAGAATCTGTAACCAAATTTTGTTGCATTCATTTCGGGACACCCTAATGAACAGCTAATAATAATAATATAATATTAAAATACATCATAATGTATTGCATGTCATTAATACTTTTGTTTTTAGGATATATCATATTAGTTAGCAAATATACGTTTTTTAAATAATAGTTTAATATTTGGAGGGTATCGGTATCATATTGGCAACTGAACTTTTTGGGCATACCATTTTTACATTTGGTGATTGTGACACATTGACAGTTAAACGTTTTTCTAAAGCAACTCTTTACTTAATTGTAGTAAGCAGTGGCGGCTCTGGGGCCTTACAAAATTTCATAGTAAAAAAATGTTATTTAAAATTTAGTTTACAATGTTATCTGGATAATTAAATAGATTAACATTATAAAAGAAATGTTAAATTTGTAATGTGTAGTCAGTTTAACTACTACATCTGTAAAGTGTTTACAGCGGTATATTTGCTATGCAGCTTGGGCTCTGTTTAGTTCGATCGAAACCAAATAATAGCTGTTCACGGCTTTTCTTAAATGTAATTTGTTCAGATGTGGTGTAAAACTTTGCTACATACGTATTGCTTCTTGTGTATTTTTACAAGCTTTTTTACAAGCTTGTATTTAACTTAACCTGCTAATATGGGTCAAATCTTGCAACTGAATTTTATCCCCAACCGATTGAGCTGAGATTTTGCATACACGTTTACTTTGGATGACAATGCATGGTTAGCTAAGTGACGTCATTCTAAATCCAATATGGCGGACTCCCAATGACGGCGGGCCAGTTATTTTTTATGCACCCCATGATATGGGTATCAAATGAAAGGGTATGCTGAGAAGAATACGAACATAGAATGACGTCATTAAAAAAAATTATACATGAACTTATTTAAAATATTGCAAAAATTTAAATTGATTGTAAAGACAGACTATCTAGTGCAAAATCAATGTTACAGGAAATACTAAACTTTAATGGAAAAGAAATTGAAAAGTTTACTTCGGACAAAAGCAGAAAAATAGACTTTAACTATAAAAAATAATGTTAAACACATGTTCCCTATATCTCAATAGTACTTAAAATAAAATATTTGATTTTTTTTTTTAATATTTGTACCTAAATTTTTCCACCATCTCTGATACGGAAGTCAAGAGCCACCACTGGTAGTAAGTATATTATGAAAACTAAATCTATATATTCCACAGAAGTGGGGAAAATCAACTTTTTAGCGTGCAAATTTCTGCCAGAAGATAACAAAATTAAATTTCAATTTCTGTGGTTATCCAATGAACCTTTGTTTCCTTCCAAAATAGACTACATCTAAATATTCATTTATCCCATTGTTCCGGATGTTGAACAATTACCGACGAATTACGACAGTTATTTTTGTATACATACATACCCCTGTTTCAGTCTGTTATGAAACTAAATATATGCATATCATAAAACACTGGTATTTATAGAAGTTATTTATAAATACGAACAATTTAGCAGTGATTTTATAAACTACGTGGTCAGATCCGTCAGAACTGATTCTTTTTTGAGACTGTTCTGTGTATATTTTCGTAACAAACCCTCTTAAGGGGGTCAAGTTCAACTAAAGAAGGCTTTATGGAAGGTATTATTAATGATCGTGACTGCAGATGTTTTGTTAAATGACACGTTGCTTTCTGTTATGCGTTCAAAACAGACTGCGCATCATGCTAATTATAATTTGATTTTCGTTTTTCACATGGAACGGTGAACATAAAGTATTAAAATATACTGAAGGTATTTAAGAAAATATTCGAGCATTCGTAGGTACACCAAAATAGCGCAGCGTTCCAAATACTCAGTTTACTGTTTTTCTTTTTAAGTCAATTGTTCACCCTGTTTTATCACAGTATTCAATGTGATAATATATTATATATCTAGAATATCACTTTTTAATCAAAAATAATGTCTTTAAACTCAGGTATAATTATAGGAGCGAAGATGGAAGTAGGTAACCGTATTTTATTCAATTATTTTTTAAATGAAAATATATTCACATAAATATCTATAACACATTGGCGTAATAACTCCAAATGTGTTTAAAAATTGTTTTTAAACACATTTTATTCCAAATATTCCTTACCACTTATCACTAGTACATTATATTATTTTATTGCGAAAGGAATTAGTATTTTTCTTTGTTTTAACAAATATTTAGAATTTTATTTTATCCGATATTGAATAAACCTTACTTAAACAGATTTAGCCAATTTGTTAATTACAAAATATGAAGTTAACAGGCACTGTAATTTATTAGATATAGTTTTTATGTTCAAAACAATTCACATGAAACTTTTAATAATAAAATTGTATATAAATTCTGTCAATAGATACTGCAAAGTAAAAGTGCTTTGTCATATACTTCTAAGTACCTCACTTGTGTTTAATGAGATAATTTTAAAAAGTTGTTCCAATCGTCAACTACACATATAAATATTTATTATTTGTTTACTGTAACAAACAACATCTAAAATATTGTTTACACATCTGAAACCTTTTACTATCTATAATATTACCTCATAATAGTAATGCTAATATTTACTACAAATTGTAGGAGAGGCTTGATCAGAATCTATTAAAATAATTAAGTCAGAAAATACTACATGGTTTTTAAATCATGTGTATTATTTTAACCTTAATATTTGAAATTTACAGTACACCAATTAAAATGACATTTATATCAATTTTACAAAACCAATTTCATCTACCTAGATTTCAAACTATATAAGCTCTATTATGTCCGGAAAATAAAAAATAGTGACAATATGGAAACAGGTACATACCTTTAATATACTGCAACTATGTAAATATTTTTTGCTAAAATACCAATAGACAATGTCAATATTTATTCACTTCGCTAATTGAACGACGACAAATTTACTGACGTTCCTATCCATTTATTTTCATCAATGGCGATAAAACGCGAAAGAATTTGACAAATATCGCGACGCCGAGCGTCTCAACGCCGTCCCATTCCTGAACTAACTAGCGGTGGTGGTGTTTAAGTTTGATTCTGTTTATTTCCTTCCTCTCTCTCGCGACACCAGCATAACTTACCAGGAGACTGATATATGGATTGACGCTTAAGGTGACTCCTCAAATTATTTATTTTATAAACATGTCGAATTTGCTTGTGTATTAGTACCTTTAATGTTTCTAAAACTCTAACAAAAATGTATCAGCCTGTTATGGAAAATATAGTAAAAGTAGATTATCCTAGAAACATTTCAAATTGTTTTTCAATTTCACCATTTAGGTTTTTATGGAAAAAAGAGGCCTTAATTATACTCCGCGGTCGAAATTATAGAGAGTGACTAAAACATAATATAAATACACTATTACTATAATGCGCATAAAATATAAAATGATTTTTATAACGGTTCAATATTATTTATCTTTGTGCCGCTCACTATGCACATCGATAGAATCTATAATCGTCTATAGACTGAGTTACACTGAACGTCGATCTATATTCTATCTCTGTCTTTTGCACTTGGTAGGGAATAGGGAAATTCTTTTTTAGTGGGTGTAAACGGACTTGATTTAGCCGTCCTGAGAAACGTCATAGCATAAGCGTAGACGAGGGGTCTAATTCCATGGCTATAATAAATTTATAAATTAAAAAAACACAACTGGGACGTTTTAAAATGCTGTAATAATTAAAATGGATCAAAGTGCCGGTTATAGCAAACCGTAAAAAATATTAGATGTTATGTTTTATTATCTTTTTTCAATATTTTCTATATCTTGTTGCCTTTTACGCAAACACGCCAATGGATTTTCGTTCCCGGCACGCTTCATCGCCCTTACTAGTCCAAAAGCTAGTGATGAGTCACTCTCTATAATTTCGACCGCGGAGTATAAAAGAGATGATACCACAGAAGATCTTTTGTGATTACCTATATTGTAGAAAAATCAGGTATTTATACACTGAGGGAACAATATTCTTACAAACTGGTAGGAAGTTTATTGAAAATATCAATTATTTTTTGGTATATATTATGTTTAATATTAATATGTATCAGTAATGAACAGTATAATAAAAATATAGCTATCAAGAGTTGATGAAATAATGGAGAGTGGATAATTTATTCACGTTACTTTCAAAATATTTGCTTTGCAGAAGTAAATATTTATTTACAATCTTTTTTTTGTAGAATATTATAGTGCCTGTCTAAGAGCTGTACAAATACTATTTATTGAAAAAAAAAACGAAATATTTAATATTAAGCGTGTAATATTAAAGACTGAAATGTATCATAAAGTTCCAAGCACAAGCACTTACAGGAAATAAATGTATTGCCTCAAATTGAACATTACTATAGGTACTAGATGTACAATCAATCATGCAGAGTAGAACAGTATCAGCCATTATTGTGCATGTAGAGTGTGAGGTGTGAATGTGTTTTATGGGTGAAATGGATAGGTTTACTATACGAATAAAATATAGAAAGCCTCATTGAAATTATTCACACAGTTTAATTGCCCAATTGGTTAAGGTGGTCTTAATCAAAACTGAAAATATTGGTGATAGCTAACAAACATTTATTTATTGAGTTATATAATTATGTTTAATTAAAAATTGTTATTACTATTGGCTGTATAACAATATGATTCATATTAATTAAATATTTATAAAAGGTACCCATAGCTTTGTAAATTGATGAGAACAGCCAAAAAAATAATTTTTTACTTGTTATCTAGACAGCTCCCAACTCCACCAATGGTTAATGCATATTATTAAATCTACATCTTTATTAAAACATATTTTAAAATATTTAAAATAGTTTGGTATATAATTTTTAGGTAATATTATATAGGTACACCTATTTATATTTTTTCGCGGGAGTTTTGTTACAGAAAATAAATATTAGAGACACAGGACAACACAGCTGATAAAACCAATGATGTCGTGTTGTGAATATATCTATCTTCAGTCATTAAATTTTAAATTTAATTTGTTAAAATTTAGTGGTCCATCTTTTGAAAATTGATTTAAACATCACAGAAAATCAATTATGAGTCTCTGTTGATTGAAGTATTCTCTCATATATCTAAAGTTTTCATATTCATCAATAGAGGGCGGCTTGGCAAACAAAGATTTCAACATTTTGAAGAGTCGAGGGTCGAGGAGTTTTTTTTTCCGAGTTCATTTCCTAGATAAATGATGTTCATTTTGTAAACAAAGATTAAAAAACCGGTTGTTTACAATAATTTTCATTAAAAATGACCAATACAACAATGAATAATAGTGCTAATGCTTCTAAAGAAGAGGATCCAGATTCTAGAAACTTAATCAAAAGTAGGGAATTTATGTACAAACTTATAATCAGGTAAAATTTTATAACCTTAAATTGTAACAAAAGTAATTATTTTCGGTTGTACCTTTTTAGCCAACTCTTCTACGATGGCCATCAAAGCATAGGAACGAGTCTCCAACAGGCAGTACAAGCCGAACCAAATAGTGCTCCGAGCGACAGGCTTTTTCATCTAGTCTTGGCAGGCCTCGAGCATGAACCAGATCGCAAAGAACGAGGACATCATGTTGGAATTGGCAATAATCAGATTGGTCCTGGATTGGGTAAAAATCAGTTAACTTTTTTAAAATGTTATATATTTTTTTAAGTAGTATAAGAAATCTGTTGTATAACCATCTTTAACCAATTTTATACTCCATAGATCTGGAATTTGAAACGGAATCTAACATTCCCGCCCCAGAACCGGCATTGTACGAAACTGCTTATGTAACGTCCCACAAAGGAAACTGTAGAGCAGGCTGTTTCTCATCGGATGGACAGCTAATAGCAACGGGCAGTGTAGATGCCAGTATTAAAATCCTTGACGTGGACAGGATGTTGGCTAAATCAGCCCCTGATGAAATGGATCCATCTAGAGGAGAGCAGCAAGGTCATCCTGTAATTAGGACTTTATATGACCATATGGAGGAAGTAACTTGCTTAGAGTTTCACCCGAAAGAACCCGTGCTGTGTTCAGGATCTAAGGACAATTCTATAAAGTTGTTTGACATATCGAAAGCGAGCGTGAAAAAGGCGTTTAAAACTATAACAGTAAGTACCTTTGAAAATTTTTTTTTGCTTGTAGTGTGCATACAAGGCAATTCAAATTTTAATTAGTTCTAAGTTTGTATTTCACCAGGGTTGCTACAAGTATAGAAAACTAGGAAATTAGGAAATTTGATAATAGACAGGAGAAAAATTAAGATCTCTGGAATTTAGGTTTACTTACTATCCATCAAATAATATTGTTTGTCAGTGGCGGCTCGTGACATTAAGAATACGTGGAGCATATTCATTGATTGACCAAAAAGAAAAAAAACGCCGCGAAAATTTTCAAGGTCAAACGGCTTTAAATGAATCTGGAAATTTTTTGTTTTATTTGCAATATTACCGAAAAATTGACGGTCGTGAGAACGATTTTCATTTGGATTTTATAAAACTTGAAATATTAATTCGGCTTGTGGACTTTTGCGAACATATACGCACACCGTATGTATATGTTCCAATGAAGCTTTGTGGTTACGACAACCTCGAGTGATGCTCCCTAAATTGTTAAATCCCATCTTATTCCACATGCCCAACTTTACACCCACAATTAATCACGGCATACAAAAAAGTTTTTTTAACTGAACACTTTCACACAACCACTTATACTCCGAATACCATTCATTCTGAAACTTTCGAACGTACACGTCTTTTGACTTCCCCTTTTTTCTATATCGAGAGAATAAGGCACAGTTCTCTTGCAATTTAAAAAATTCTTTTCATCCTCAATTTTCCATTTGGAAAATGGTGTTTCCAATAAAATACATACATACATAGTACATAGGAAACATTTCTACAATTATTATACAAAACAAATATTAACAAAGAACTATTATAATTGTACGCTAGTCGGCACACATCGTATAAACTGTTAAATGTAGGCGATAGGCGATGGGCGATGCTGCTTCAATTTCTGCGTCACTTGTTCCCCCACGCCGTAGTTTAATCACATATTGGCCACCTTGTTGCCATGACAACCGCCATAAACAACGCTACGGAGAGAAGCAGAATACAGACTGATTTCAATCTGCGTCACTTGCGTATAATATACGTTGTATGGTCCGGGGTTGATGTTCGCGCTCAACGAAGGCAATGTTTTTTTAGAATGCGTTCACTGTGTGTTTATTTCTGTGTATTAAACAAACAAACACGATACATTTTAAGTATAGAATTATACCTAAATTATAAAATTTATATAAAATTAAAAATAATTTTAGATTGCAAAACCAAACGGAAATTTTAGGTGAAGCGGTGTGTCACTTGTGTCACCTGACGAGCCGCCACTGTTGTTTGTCTCTATTGAATAGATGACACACGTATTATTCTTCTTGTTTGATATTTTTGGAGAAGATATTTTCAATTATATGGTGACAATCACTTCCAATGAATGTGTCAACAATGAATATGCTATTTTATAGATATATGTAAATAAATGGAATTCATGTTTTTTTAGCGGGACAAGTTCACAGACAAAAAAATGGGCATCTTGAATTGGAAATATAATTTTTTTCTTTCCTACTCATATTTTTTATGTTTATGTTCCATTTAATTCGAAATGAACTATAACAAAGTAAATTATTAATTACTTTTTTAGTTGTTTTAACAAGCAAACACATGCATTCCATTCATATCTGTTGGGTAATTTTAGAGGTTGATGTATGTTATGCAAATTTAAAAATTTTGTTCACATCAATAGTTTTATGTATTTAAATATAAGTATCACAAATCAAAGAAGAATATAAAAACCAGTATAAGTTCATTTCATTTCAAGCATTTCTTAAGCCGAATGGCATCCCCAGAGACTCGAGAAATCCGTAAGGTATTGCTATAACTGTCTTAAAAACATCTTCCGCAAGGGGCATCTCATAACAAGCTCTAACAAGATCAATTTTTGAAAATATCCTACAACCATGAATGTAGTTTGATATCTTCGTTTTAATATAGATTTTATTTCATATCAGTACAGTTTTATGTATTTAAATATAAAATTATAGATCATAGTTAATAAAAAAATGTGTATTTCTTACATAACAAAAATGTATTAGATCTATTTATTTTTAAATCATTTTGCTGGCAACTGCAGAACTGAAAAAGCGAACTTGCATTTTTAATATATTTTGTTTTTTTTTTAACATGTCTCCATGCAGATTTAACTAAATAAATAATAAAAAGTAACTACTTTCGTATTTTAATGAGGAAAATCATTCTTCACGTTTTTCTTAAGTGATGAAATTAACATTTTTGTCTTTAAAATAATTGTCACGTTCATATGGACTAAACCACGAGAATTTGATATTTTTTCCGCTGCTAAATAGAAAAAACTCAAGAAATTTGAAAACATTGTTCTGTAGCAATCCTGTTAACGATTCTATGAATGACTACTAAAATGCTATTTGTCTCAAGGAATCCGAACCGATAAAAGCAATGTCTTTCCATCCTGGTGGTGACCACTTGATAGTTGCTACAAACCACCCAGTTGTTCGGCTCTACGACATGAACACCCTTCAGTGTTTCGTTTGTGCTTTCCCGAATCATCAGCACACCCAATCCGTCACAAACTTGAAATGGTCCAAGGATGCAAAATTATTTGCCACCTGCAGTAGAGACGGTAACATTAAGTTGTGGGATGGAGTGTCTAATCGTTGCATAAATACGTTTATCAAAGCACACGACGGTTTGGAAGTGTGTTCTGTCGAATTTTCTAGAAATGGGAAGTATCTGTTATCAGCTGGAAAAAATTCAATTTGCAAATTGTGGGAGTTGACAACCAGTCGCTGTTTAATTGCGTATACAGGTAAATAGTTATTGGGTCATTATATATCGGTATATACCGATATACCTATTTCACCGTTTATTTTTCTTTAAATTCTCTTAAATTTAATTCTGTAGGAGCTGGCACAACGGGGAAACAAGAATATGAAGCGCAAGCTGTGTTCAATCACACTGAAGACTATGTGTTATTCCCTGACGAAGCAACCACTTCTTTATGTGCATGGAACTCTAGGAATGCCTCCAGAAAACAATTAATGTCTTTAGGGCATAATGGAGCAGTGAGACTCATCGCTCATTCTCCGACACAAGCGGCATTTTTGACGTGCTCTGATGACTTCCGTGCCAGATTTTGGTACCGAAGGACGCCTACTTTATAATTATGACATTTAGATTTTAAGTTTCTGCTAACATTTACGGATTTAAATTGCTCTATGATCCAGTATTTGTAAAAATATTTAAAATTACACTTGTTTGTCAAACGTTTATTTTTTATTATTACAAAAATTAAATGATTTAATTTAACCATCGTTCATTTTTTTCCTGTAATTAAAAAAAGTTATCTAAAATAAAACAAGATCAAGAAAATAACCATATATTTCCTAAAACATTAAAATAAATAAGTTTTTGATAAAGAATAAACTTCAAATATCAATGTACAAAATAAATTAAGGTACCTAAAAACTTAATCTATGTGATCGTGATTTGCGTGTGCTTCCGATTCCCTCCAATTACTTTGCACAGCCTCGATAATCCAAGTCCACCACTTAGACTTGGTAAAGTAGTAGCCGCTACATATTATAATAAATAACCATGACATAATTAAAAATACATCAGATTCTTTAGAAGGGCTACTGACAACTGGCCCTGCGAAATCTGCCGAAGTCACAATCGACTTTTCCATAGCAGTGAGACCGGTGTATTTTGATATAAACTTTGAAAACATTTCAAGAGTGTATTCTGAATCGTTAAACTTTGCAATAGGCCTTCCGCTATGAAACAGCATCAATGATGGTACACCTACGATTCCATTTTGGGTGTTAAATAAGTGATACATCATAGCATTTATGGCAACCATTTTAATATCGGGGAAAGCTCTTGGCAAAGCATTGTAATATGGTGCCGCCATACTAGAGAAAGGGCAGTATTTCGAATAGAATAACACCACCACACAAAGTCCAGGAACATCTCGGTCTGTCACCTTAGGATCAGCTTGTAATAATTTAATTAACTCGGTATCATTAGCCAACTGAACGGTTGAAGTTCCCAGACCAGGTAAACACTTGACATATTTTCGGGTTTTATTAATGATTTCATCGGCACTTTGTACTGTATGATTAATTGTCAGGTTTGTATTTAATTCGGTTGCATTAAGTTCATTCATAGAGGTATTACCTTCCTGATTTTCGAAGTTCAATGTTTCTTCATTTTCCGATTTCAATAAAATCGTATTAGAAATATGTTCCTCACAATTACATAGAGAAAACAATACTAGGAAAATATATATAACTAGTTTAAACATTTTATTAAGAGTAGAATATTGCTGTTTGTTTACTCTTTTTACATATTATTAAGGTTATATATTTTTATTTTTTTTTACCATAGCACCAGACATACAGACTATCCTTTTTCTAATCTGTGGTTCAGACCCAGATTAATTAATTTGGGGTTCCACTTTTGCAATACATATTGGAACAGTTACAATGAATAGAAAGTCGGCTTTGAGTCAATCCATAGCATACTGTCAAATGTAGTGAAGTGGTGTTCCGTGAGTGTAAAAATTTATGTGTCAAATTGTGTGAGGAATGGATTTCAATATTATTTAATCAAAATAAAATCTAAATATTATATGAATCTTTAACTACACTATATAAAATAGATAGAGATTAAAAATGTACTTTGAAGTAAGTATTCTAATTAAATTTTATTGGATTGATATAACCTCACCATACACACTTTTGCAGAGATTTTATTTATTTATACCATTGTTATTACTGTCATGGACATCAAACACCTATCAGTTTTATGTACCAGGAATGGCACCCACAGATTTCAAAAAGGGTGATCCTATTGAAGTAAGAGCAGTAAAAATGACTAGTATCCACACGCAATTACCTTACGAGTATTATTCATTACGTTTCTGTCTACCAAAAGGTGGTTCGTCTGCTATACATTATAAATCTGAGAATCTGGGCGAAGTTTTAAGAGGTGATCGTATAGTAAATACTCCATATGTGGTCAAAATGGCAGAAGAGACGCCTTGTACATTACTATGTAATTCTCCTGAATATCCCATTTACTGGAGTACTAGAGAATCTCAGACTGCTGTTGACAGAATTCAACATGAGTATTTTGTTCACCTGTAAGTTCATTTGTTGTATTTTAATCCTTATTAGACTAATGATAATTTTATACAATATAGTGATAAAACCAGCTAATTTCGTAACGCCCTATGTAAATTTTCAACAAGTGGATTTTAAGATAATGTGTAACATATTTAATTGTCTGCCAACAAAACATTTATTTTAATTGTAATAAGAAGGTATTGTGAATTATTCTTAGAATACATATTTATGCGATCAAATCAATACGTATTTTTGGATATGAAATGAAAATGTGACCTTGAATAAAATTGGTATTTTTCCAGTATGTTATTTTCCAAAGAAATGTTATGTTTTAGGTATTATATAAACTTTTAAGTTTTTTAAATTAAATTGAAGAATTTTTTAAATCAATGATTGATAATTATAGGTTAGTAGATAATTTACCAGCGGCTACACCCATATTCAATCCCGAAACGAATGAAATTCAATATGAACATGGCTATCGTCTTGGAAATACAGTGGGGGATAGAAGCTTTATTAATAATCATTTAAAATTGACATTGTTGTACCACAATCCTCATCCGTAAGTTGTACCAAAATGACAATGTTATTATTATTCTGATAAATAACATTCTAGAAATGTGTACCGAGTAGTAGGATTCCATGCCACAGCTAAGTCTATAAACAGAGACGAACTTAAATTTGACGGCAAAACGTGTGATTTCCCATCAAAACCAAAACCACAAGTTGTCGATCCTGTGGCAGGGACAAAACTTTATTTTACTTATGAGGTTGAATGGAAGGAGTCTTCTGTTAGTTGGGCATCCAGATGGGATACGTATTTGGCCATGAGCGATGCACAAATTCATTGGTTTTCGATTATAAATTCTATTGTCGTCATTTTCTTTTTATCAGGTAATAATTACATTTGCCTAATTAGAATACTACAGCTTCAAATCAACTGTTGATCGCTGATAAGATTAAATCTGTACTATCTGTGTACACTGTTTTACATAGATTTTATTAGGATTTAAAGAAATATTGAACATTAAGTATTTTGTTTATAATTATATTTAGAATATAAACATAGTGCAAACAAAATAATAAGAGTACTTAACTTTGATTAAAAACTATTTTAGAATAAATTTTATAGAAATAAGAAAAAGTTTCAGAAAAGAATGTTTTTTTTTAACTATAATGTTGAATTAGGAAATAAAAGTTAGTATTTTATTTCAATTTATTCAGGAATTCTTACTATGATCATGGTAAGAACGTTAAGAAGAGATATAGCTAAATATAATGCGGATGAAAGTTACGACGAGACTATCGAAGAAACAGGCTGGAAATTGGTACATGGAGATGTTTTCAGACCACCCAGAAACTCCAGACTATTCGCAGCATTGATAGGATCTGGAATACAGATATTTTTAATGTCACTGATAACGATATGTGAGTATATTTTCGTTAAATCAGTTTTTTCCCTCTATATCATGCTTTATATTTCAGTCTTTGCCATGTTGGGTATGCTGTCCCCAGCCTCGAGAGGTGCTTTGACAACAGCCGCTATAACTTTTTATATGATTCACGGAGCTGTGGCGGGTTACTTTTCAGCTCGTTTATACAAAACCATGAAGGGAAGGGAATGGAAAAAGGCGGCTTTCCTCACAGCAGCTTTGTACCCAGCTGTCGTTGGTCTCACCTGCTTCTTCCTTAACTTCTTTATCTGGGGCAAAGCCAGTAGCGGAGCTGTACCATTTTCTACTATGATATCTTTGTTCCTTATGTGGGTGTTCATCTCCCTTCCGTTGGTGTATCTAGGATATTACTTTGGATACAGGAAGCAACCTTATCAACACCCAGTGAGGACTAACCAGATACCCAGGCAGGTGCCCGAACAACACTGGTACATGAACCCAGTGCTTTGGTAAGTTTATATGTTATGTGAATTTGTAGTAGTCTGTACAAAATCTGTTCTATGAAGCTTTTTGTGAATATTTTTTAATGTTTGTGTTTGTACTGATAAAGCCTAGGATTCTTATATATTAAAAGCTGCCCTTCCGCCGTCTTGCTCCCACGATTGCCTGACAAATTTTTTTTTAAGAGCTGCAAAGTGCCCTTCAGTTCTTCCTCCGTGCCCACATTCTGTTTTGATGGTGACTTATTCACATCCCCTTTTTATGACACGTTTTCCACGAAAATTAGAAACTTTTTTACTGCAAAGGAGAGATAGGACAAAATGGCCATTTCTTATTTGATTATAAAGTTTTCCGTGTCATTGGAGTTGTGATGTGTCATTTTACATTCGCAACTGTCCGTTGTCCTTTTGGGATGATATTATTAAACTTCATTGGACTATTTCAAGATGAACTTAAACATTGAAATAACTGACATAGGCTCCACCCACATGTTGGCCGCTGTAGCTCAGTTTGTAAGCTCGTGACCAGCAAGCCAAGAGTCTTTCCACTAGACTTGCTGACAGGTCGATATGTACTGTTGACGACATTTCCATGTTTTAACTTGAATGTCACACAAAGAGTCGCCGTTCCGGTAACAGTAGTAGAGAAAAGTGTAAACCAGGTATCTTGGAAGAGAAAACCAGTCTTCGTCCAGGCGAATTATATAGGTTTTTTTTTTCAAAAATCGGGCCTACGTCGAATTTTATGGGCTTAAAATTAAGTAAGTAAAAAATACACAGATTAAAAGCCTAAATTTGTGTATTTGTCGAGCGTCATTGTTTATAACAAAAGAAAAAATAATGATCTTTTTTCAGTTTTTCCCTTATATCTCCGAAAATAAGTCGCTAATCAACATGAAGTATACTTATCAATTTTGTTCCTGAGGAAATTTGCTACAAGGATAGGCTTTTGCGAAAGCTCGCAAAATTTTTTTATATTGCAAAATAGGGAATGAAAGAAAAATGCAAAATTTTCAGCATTAAATAAAAAGAACGAATTTGGCTGAAATTGGATGTAACCACAGGAAAAGATAACTGTTGGGTGCTCAACAAATACCAACAATCTGTACCCTCAATTTCAAAATGGCGACCTATTGCAAAATTATAAACTCGAAAACGCGAGCACGTATATCTTTTGCCCAGGTAATTACATTATCTCGTGTATGTGTAAATTTCAGATTTTTAAGATGCAAAATAAAAAAGTTAACAAAAAAACCAAAAAAAAAATCGTAACTAGGGTCCTTTTCTCGGCGATTTTTTAATATACAGATTTCAAACCAATTGCATCAAATAGCGCTTAAAAAAACATGAATTAAAAAAAAACGTCTTGATCGACCAATAGGAGTGGAGATAATTTTTTTTCTTAAAAACGGTATTCTGCCTGTTCTATTTAATATTTATTTTGTAATAAACTTGGGCTCGTTGTAAAGTAGAAAACTTCTTTTCTACGCTGAATTTTTTCTGAAAAGGTTCGACCAAGAAATGACCAAGTAAACATTCGTTAAAGGCAGCGAGATCCGCGTGGTTGCCACGAGAAAGGAGCACTGTGACGTCATAGTGCCCTTGCTGCGCTCGGCTTCACAAAATTCTTACTTAACAAATGGTACGTGGCGTACGGCCCACCCCAGAAGGCCGAAAAAGATGTAATATCATCATCTTTGCCATATCCGTAAGATGTTACTGCGTGACCTTTTTTTTTAGAATCGAATCAAAACGTGTTCAAATTTTATAACAGTACATAGGTAAGTCACAAAAGCTTGAAGCCTCCATAGAGCTTGCACAAGGTTCATAGTGGCCGGGAATACTGGGAAAAGTCAGGGAATTCGTTATTCTTCATGAAAAACAGGGAATAGTCAGGGAATTTTTAAAATATTCATGAAAGTCAGGGAATTTGATGTTTGTAACTGGAAATTTTGTGAAAGCCGGCCCTAGGTTTTTGAAAGAGAAAACTATTTGTGGTTTTAAAACCTTTATAAGAGGTTCTTTGTGTATAAAAAAGATTATGGAGTCCAGTCGTGAAAAAGTTTAATGCATCAACACCAATTAGTATGTAAAAATGAACTACAAGGACCTGGATTTTTTTTATAAACAGGGAAAAGTCAAGGAATACCCTGAAACAAATGCACTAACCACATGTTCGTTTTTTTCAAAAGGAACAGGCCATCATCTGCTTAGAAGTGCTTTGTGCTTGATCAATTTTTGTTGCATTTTGCTCATCTTGAAAGATCCATACAATCGACTGTTGTTTATTTTTGGGCTCATATGCTCATGTTCATGATTCATTACCTGTTACGATGTCATAGACGTGTTTTGAAGCACCACATTCGTATTTTTTGAGTATTTGACTAATTGACACGAGCGTGAAATTATGTGGGATCCAACGTGAATAATTTTTTTTAACGGATAAATGCTCATGCAGTAATGAATCTACCCCACTAATACTATACCATCTAGTCCCACTAATACCCAAGAATGCCTCAATCTCACGGTAAGTCATATGAGGATCTTGCAATATCAGTTTATGCACAGCATCAATGTTTTCTGGAACAACTACCATTTTGGACGACCTTCACAAAATTCGTCAGCGAACCAGGGCCATAATTCAATTTCGTATACTGGCGATAAAATTGTAAAAAATAATCTCGTAGAAGTGTTCACGACTTAATTTCATTTTTTGGCCGAGATGAATTTTTCGAGTCACAAATAGCTCCAATACGTCAAAGCGTTGTGAGTAAGTGTATGGACAAAAAGTAAAATTTTACGATAGGGACGTCGGTCGGTTGTCAGATGGCAACACCAAAATCGTCCATTCCTGAAATATAAAAGGCAACCCTTGTATTGTTTTTATATGTAAAACACGAAATAGATACGATAATATTCAACCCTAAATAATTCTTAGATGAACTTTTAAAAACTCTCAGTAGGTACTAAAAAAAAAATTATCAACCATTTATATACAGGGTGTCCGCAAATTTCACCGACAACGTTTGATTGCATATTCACGACGATAAATAAATACGATCTACGAAAAAAAAGTTAAATAAAATCCTTTTGGTTTTTGAGTTACAGGATTTCAAAGTTTCAAAATAAAATTAATTTACTTAATAACTTCATAACCCTTTTGCCGATCGCGTTAAAATTTGGTACACTTATTTGAACTATTATTGCGTATTATTTCTAAAAGTTTTAGTCAAAGCGATATACTAGGTGATAGTTTTTTCTGGTTACCTCTCCCTCTTAATGGTCAAAACTTTTACATTAGTCGTATTTTTTTTGTAAATGGGCAGCAACATTGAAATGGTCACTTTATTTAAAAAAAAATAGTGGCCCTTGAGAAAATGGCCTACAAAAAGCCATTCTTGAGAAAAATGGCATTATTTGCAGGTCTGTACTTTTTGATTTGTATAGCGGTCTCACAGATTTAAAACTGAGTTCAGTAGGCGATGAAAACAGGATGTCGATTGCTGTGGATATCAGGGAATATCATTATTGTCGTGTTTCTTTAGGATTCTCATCACTCTACACATGCATACACATGCAAATTATGAAGTGTCCGCAGTGTATCAAGACAATTAAACGGAGTTGTAAATTTTCATAATTTGCATGTGTGGAGTAATGAGAATACTAGAGATGGGAAAATTCCCAAACTATGAAAATTCCTGGAAAGTTTCCATTGAAAATTCCGGAAATTTTCCGAAAATTTCAAAAAATTTTTTTTTGGATTTGGTATTGTGTTCTACATACCATCAGCTTTCCAGAAAGACCAAATACTTATATACATTTTTATTTATATTGGTATAAATATTGGAAAAATATAAATTATGTATTAATCATCCGTTAGAAAAAATTACATGCTGAGGGTACAGTATACAATATCTTTATTTTTTAACAAACAAATAGTAAATACATTAAATAATTATACTAGTTTTAAAATGTAATTGTACTTTGGTTCAACTNTACGTATTTGGCCATGAGCGATGCACAAATTCATTGGTTTTCGATTATAAATTCTATTGTCGTCATTTTCTTTTTATCAGGTAATAATTACATTTGCCTAATTAGAATACTACAGCTTCAAATCAACTGTTGATCGCTGATAAGATTAAATCTGTACTATCTGTGTACACTGTTTTACATAGATTTTATTAGGATTTAAAGAAATATTGAACATTAAGTATTTTGTTTATAATTATATTTAGAATATAAACATAGTGCAAACAAAATAATAAGAGTACTTAACTTTGATTAAAAACTATTTTAGAATAAATTTTATAGAAATAAGAAAAAAGTTTCAGAAATGAATGTTTTTTTTAAACTATAATGTTGAATTAGGAAATAAAAGTTAGTATTTTATTTCAATTTATTCAGGAATTCTTACTATGATCATGGTAAGAACGTTAAGAAGAGATATAGCTAAATATAATGCGGATGAAAGTTACGACGAGACTATCGAAGAAACAGGCTGGAAATTGGTACATGGAGATGTTTTCAGACCACCCAGAAACTCCAGACTATTCGCAGCATTGATAGGATCTGGAATACAGATATTTTTAATGTCACTGATAACGATATGTGAGTATATTTTCGTTAAATCAGTTTTTTCCCTCTATATCATGCTTTATATTTCAGTCTTTGCCATGTTGGGTATGCTGTCCCCAGCCTCGAGAGGTGCTTTGACAACAGCCGCTATAACTTTTTATATGATTCACGGAGCTGTGGCGGGTTACTTTTCAGCTCGTTTATACAAAACCATGAAGGGAAGGGAATGGAAAAAGGCGGCTTTCCTCACAGCAGCTTTGTACCCAGCTGTCGTTGGTCTCACCTGCTTCTTCCTTAACTTCTTTATCTGGGGCAAAGCCAGTAGCGGAGCTGTACCATTTTCTACTATGATATCTTTGTTCCTTATGTGGGTGTTCATCTCCCTTCCGTTGGTGTATCTTGGATATTACTTTGGATACAGGAAGCAACCTTATCAACACCCAGTGAGGACTAACCAGATACCCAGGCAGGTGCCCGAACAACACTGGTACATGAACCCAGTGCTTTGGTAAGTTTATATGTTATGTGAATTTGTAGTAGTCTGTACAAAATCTGTTCTATGAAGCTTTTTGTGAATATTTTTTAATGTTTGTGTTTGTACTGATAAAGCCTAGGATTCTTATATATTAAAAGCTGCCCTTCCGCCGTCTTGCTCCCACGATTGCCTGACAAATTTTTTTTTAAGAGCTGCAAAGTGCCCTTCAGTTCTTCCTCCGTGCCCACATTCTGTTTTGATGGTGACTTATTCACATCCCCTTTTTATGACACGTTTTCCACGAAAATTAGAAACTTTTTTACTGCAAAGGAGAGATAGGACAAAATGGCCATTTCTTATTTGATTATAAAGTTTTCCGTGTCATTGGAGTTGTGATGTGTCATTTTACATTCGCAACTGTCCGTTGTCCTTTTGGGATGATATTATTAAACTTCATTGGACTATTTCAAGATCAACTTAAACGTTGAATTAACTGACATAGGCTCCACCCACATGTTGGCCGCGGTAGCTCAGTTTGTAAGCTCGTGACCAGCAAGCCAAAAGTCCTCAGTTCGAATCGCACGCGTGTTAAATTTTTTTATTTTTAAACAATATTTTCCCTAAAAATTTATTTTACCAAATGGATAAAAATATTTTTTATATTTTATTTACCCCCCACATACTAAATATGTAACGAATATTTCCAACTAGACTTGCTGACAGGTAGATATGTACTGTTGACGACATTTCTATGGGTTAACTTGGATGTCACACAAAGAGTCATCGTTCCGGTAATAGTAGTAGTGAAAAGTGTAAACCACGAAGAGAAAACCACTTTTTAATATACAGGGTGTTCTCAAAGTTAAGTCATTTATTTTAACAGTTGGTAGCACTCATTAAAAAAAGTCGATTTACCAAAAATCGTTTATATAAAAGTTGTCAAATAAAGCAATTATTGAAAATTGAAATTTAAAAACTTTATAATACAAGCCTAATTTATTGTTATTTTCGACCACACCATTGTAAAAACATAAATTGTTTTTTTACTATTGATCCTGGGTATCTTTTTTTTGTAGTTGCACTGTTTTGAGTGCGCTTTTCAATTTGACAGCGCTAAATAATTCATACAGTAGTGTGTGATATTATTTTTGATTTGTGGAGAAATGGTGATCAAGTAAGAAATTTTAGAAATTGTCGAAAACGATCCAACGAACACTAGATCCATGTTAGTAAACAAACAATTTATCTTCCAGCGGGACTCCTCGTTGTTTCTTTAAATACACTGTATCGCGGAATCGTATAACTAAATTTACAAACATCCGCGGAGCCGGATGATTTCGTAAAGAGAACATTTCTGTGTATAAGCGACATGCTGCAACTGCATTTTGTTGACACTCCCCGTAAGTTAATATTATGTCCACTAGTTCATTGTTTAAATAATATCACTCACTACTGTACGAATTATTTTGCCTTAAGGTAGGATTTTTAAGCTTCCATCAAGGCAGTGTGCGACATCAGCAATAACAAAGAAAAGTAAGGTCTTTGACGGTTGGTTACCCTTATGTTTCCGAAGACTTGTGGCAAACAAATGCGCTAACCACATGTTCGGTTTTTTCGAAAGGAACGGGCCATCATCTGCTTAGAAGTGCTTTGGGTTTGATCAGCTTTTGTTGCATTTTGCTCATATTGAAAGATCCGTACAATCGACTGCTGTTAACATTTGGGCTCATATGCTCATGTCCATGATTCGTTACCTGTTACGATGTCATAGACGTGTTTTGAAGCACCACATTTGTATATCTTGAGTATTTGAATTGACACGAGCCTGAAATTATGTGAGCTCCAAAGTGAACAATTTTTTTTAACAGAAATGCTCATGCAATAATGAATCTTCCCCACTAATACCCAAGAATGCCTCAATCTTACGGTAAGTTACATGACGATCTTGCAATATCAGTTCATGCACAGCATCAATGTTTTCTGGAACAACAACCAATTTTGGACGACTCACAAAATTCGTCAGCAAACCACGGCCTTGATTAAATTCCGTATACCACCGATAAAGTTGTAAAAAATAATCACGTAATCATAATTAAAAAAAATCACGTAATAATCACAAGTGTTCACAACTTAATTTCATTTTTTGGCCAAAATGAATTTTTCGAGTCACTGTAAACGACACAGATAGCTCCTATATTTTAAAGCGTTGTGAGTAAGTGTATGGATAAAAAATCAAACTTTACGATAGGGACGTCGGTTGTTAGATGGCAGCACCAACATCGTCCATTCCCGAAATATAAAAGACAACCCTTGTATTGTTTTTATATGTAAAACACGAAATAGATAATAAAACACAACTAGATAGGATAATATTCAACCCTAAAGAATTTTTAGATGAACTTTTAAAAACCCTCACTACTAAAAAAAATATTATCAACTATTTATATACAGGGTGTCCGCAAATTTCGCCGACAACGTTTGACTGCATATTCACGATGATAAATAAATACGGTTTACGAAAAAAAGTTAAATAAAAACCTTTTGGTTTTTGAGTTACAGGCCTTCAAAGTTGTCAAAAATAAAACTAATTTAATTAATAATGTCTTCATAACCCTTTTACTGATCGCATTAAAATTTGGTATACTTATTTGGACTATTATTGCGTATTATTTCTTAAAGTTTTAGTCAAATCAATATACTGGGTTACCTCTCCCTCTTAACGGTCAAAACTTTTACACTAGTCGTATTTTTTTTTAAAAAGGGCAGCAACATTGAAATGGTTTTTTTTTATTTAAAAAAAATAGTGTCCCTAGAGAAAATAGCCTACAGAATGCCATTCTTGAGAAAAATTGCATTATTTGCAGGTCTGTACTTTTCGGTTTGTATAGCAGTGTCACGGATTTAAAACTTTGAGTTCAGTAGGCGATGAAAACCGGATGTCGAGTGATGTGGCTATCAGGGAATGTCATTATTGTCGTGTTTCTTTAGGATTCTCATCACTCTACACATGCAAATTATGAAGTGTCTGCAGTGTATCAAGACAATTAAACAAAGTTGTAAATTTTCATAATTTGCATGTGTGGAGTAATAAGAATACTAAAGAAACACGAGAATAATCACATTACTTGATAGCCACAACAATCAACATCTTGTTTTCATCGCCTACTGAAGTCAAAGTTTTAAACCGAAACATACACACATGCAAATAATGCTATTTTTCTCAAGAATAGCTTTCTGTAGGCGATTTTCTCAAGCGACAATATATTTTTTTTTAATTAAAGGACCTTTTCAATGTTGCCGACCACTTTAAAAAAATACGACCATTGTAAAAGTTTTGACCACTAAAAGGGAGAGGTATCCAGAGAAAACTATCACCCAGTATATCGATCTGACTAAAGCTTTAAGAAATAATATGCAATAATGGTCCAAATAAATGTACCAAATTTTAACGTGATCGGTAAAAGGGTTATAAAAAACACACCACAGAAATGAGAATTATGAAGTTGATGAGATTATGAAGTTATTAATTAAATTAGTTCTGTTTTTGACAATTTTAAAGGCTTGTAACTCAAAAACCAAAAATTTTTTATTTACTTTTTTTCCGTAGATCGTCTTTATTTATCGTCATGAATGTGCAGTCAAACGTTGTCGGGGAAATTTGAGGACACCCTGTATTTCATTAATGGAATTTTTATTTCTTTATATGTTTCAGTACTTTGATGGCTGGAATTCTACCATTTGGAGCTGTATTTATCGAACTGTTCTTTATATTTACTGCCATATGGGAAAATCAGTTTTACTACCTCTTTGGATTCTTATTTCTGGTGTTTGTCATATTGGTAATTTCTTGCTCGCAAATTTCCATTGTTATGGTCTATTTCCAGCTTTGTGAAGAGGTAAAACTGTTAGATGGCCTAAATAATATCCAAACATTTTAAATTTACTTTTTAGGACTATCATTGGTGGTGGAGAAGTTTCATAGTGTCTGGAGGATCTGCTTTATACATCTTAGGATACTCACTCTTCTACTTCATGACAAAACTTGAAATTACAGAATTTATCCCGACATTGCTATATGTGGGATATACAGGTTTGATGGTATTCACCTTTTGGTTACTCACGGGTACCATAGGGTTTTTCGCAGCGTACGCATTCGTCCGGAAAATCTATTCCGCCGTTAAGATCGACTAAGTCAATGGACGAACGTGAGATGTACTTTTTTTCTTACAACGAATGTGTTGTGTACTTTTGTGATGGCTTTTTTTTTTGATAGTTTAATTTTAACTGCGCACTGTAACGTGCGATAAGATCACATTTTTCATATTTATTTGTTTTAGTAAAAATGTTTAGTTCGTAGGACTTTTTTATAAAGTCGTGCTATGGTACAATACCTTCTTTTATCCTACCAAACCTTTTTAGAATGCAGAGAAGTGTGCACTAAGGAAGTTCATGACAAAAATATGTGTTTCCAGGTCGATGATGTATTTCCTTTTTCGTGTTCGTCGTCCTTTGAATTTAACTTATCGAATATCGGAGAAAACAATGTTTAAAACACTTATTTCCGCAATTTATCAGTAGGGTCTCTTAATTAAGACTCATATTAAATTATTTAATATTCGATGAGCAGTGATTTACGAAATTCCAAAATTAAATGATGCATTTTGCAATTCGGGGGTTATTCGAGTAAACATATTTATTTCGTATTAAGTAAAGCAACGCAATATGTGTAATGTATAGTTGTTTTATAAATCATGACCAATTTGTATGACAAGTAAAAATTCTATTAATTTTGTTCCGATAACACAGGCCGTCAATTTTCAGAACCAGAAATCGGACCTAGCGTACCCGAAGGATTTTGGTGCGCTGATTATGAATCCGAGCTCAGAATTTGCCCATCACCCTAGGTTCTTCAGATATTCTAACCTAAAAATGCAAAAATCGCAGTTTTTCACTATATTCTGGGTCAGATTACAACATGAATTAATTACGTTAAACCATCTCAAAGTACCACTCTTACCCTTCTAAGCGCACTTCTATTTTTTTGAAAATCTTTTTTTTTTCCATAGAAATAGAAATATGATAGTTTGAAGTTTAGTACTTCAGCGATTTCGTTACAACATGGAAATAATCAAAATTTATCCAAAAACGAGATGTAAAGTACTTATATGTTTCTTGAGTCGGTGAATTTGAAAATACTGTCGGATCTGCTCCATAACCTCAATATTTCAAGATTTTCTAACCTAAAATTGCGAAAACACTTCCAAATGATGCAGATACTTCTGTATACACGCTGTTACATTCGGATGCTAAGGTTCATCATAATGCGCTATAACCTACAACACGTATACCTAAATGCGCAATAACCAGCGAAGGCTAAACCCACACGACGGTAAACATTAATGTGCGATAANATACTTCTGTATACACGCTGTTACATTCGGATGCTAAGGTTCATCATAATGCGCTATAACCTACAACACGTAATCTAAATGCGCAATAACCAGCGAGGGCTAAACCCACGACAGGTAAACCTAAATGTGCAATAACCAGCGTAGGCTAAAAGCACGACAGGTTAACCTCAATGCGCAGTAACCTGTGAGCACTGAACGCACTAGAGTTTAACCTTAGTGCGCTGTTTAGCCCTCCCTGGTTATTGCGCATTTAGGTTTACCTGACGTGGGTTTAGACCTCGCTGGTTATTGCGCATTAAAATTTACCTGTTGTGGGTTTAGTCATCGCTGGTTATTGCGCATTTAGGTTTACCTGTCGTAGGTTATGGCGCATTATGATCAACCCGTCATGAGCTTAGCATGCCAATGTAACAGTGTGTGTGCTTCATATAGTAGTGTTTTCGCAATTTTAGGTTAGAAAATCTTGAAATATTGAGGTTGTGGAGTGTTTTCAATTTCAGCGACTCGAGAAACATAAGTACTCTATATCTCATTTCTGTAACGAAATCAAGATTTTCAAAAAAATCGGAGTGCGCTTAGAAGGGTGAGGGTGGTATTTTGATGGTTTAACGCAATTTTAGAAAAAAAAATTCAGGTTGTAATCTGACCCTGAATACAGGTATAGCAAAAAACCGTGATTTTTGCACTTTTAGGTTAGAATATCTCGAGAACCTAGGATGATGGGTCATTTCTGTGCTCGGATTCATAATCAGCGCATCAAAATCCTTTGGGTACACTAGATCCGGTCTCTGGACTTTCGTAAAATTAAAAATCGTTAAACGAGCTAACAAATTTACAGGCTGTTAAAAATTGAAAATGGAAGGAACCTTTATATTTTTAGATATGAATTAATTGACGAATTCTTGCTATTTATATTTTGAAGATTCTACAATATTTCTATACAGTATCGGACAACATTAGAGATACTTCCGTTAAGTTGCCAGTGCATACAAAATAGAAAGATTGTCATTAACCAGGTTTAACATAATTTTATTATAGATTGCCAAACAGTTTAAATTTCACGAAATAGTTGTATATTGGTAACATTTTTCTAGCAAATTTTCTTTTTCACTATCTCCCAAATGTTTTTGATGGGATTCAAATCTGGAGACTGCCCGGCTATATCAAAACTTTTACATTATTTTCAAGAAACCATTATTTTACAATTTTTGTGGTGTATTTGAGGTCATTATCTTGTTGATAAATAAAATTTTAGGGCATTTTGGTACATAACGTGATCCGTAATATCTTCAGTCCGATGAATAGGTCCCATTTCATATGCTGAAAAGCAACCCCAAACCATAATATTGTCCCTACTTTTTTTTATTGCACAAGAAACATATTGTGGATCAAGTCCTTTATTCATAGGAGGGTGACAATTTGTGAGCCATTTCCTAACAAGTATACATAGCGAGTGGCAAACAACATTCTAGCTTGTATTTTTTTGTCAGAAATAGTTTCTTAGTTGCTCTGCTGCCAGGAAGTGCATTCTACACCAAACCATACTCAATGTTGTTGGACACACACCTGACACACTTATCGTGGCCTAAAAATATCTGTGGAGCATGCTGACTTGGTCTTTTTATTCTCCAATCAACTGTTTTGTGATTTTTTATTTCCTATGGCCTCTTTAAATTAAGGATAACCACCGTGACAACCGAAAAGTTCTCAAAGTTGAGTCATTTATTTTAACGGCTGATAGAACTCATAAAAAAAAGTCAATTTACCAAAAATTGTTTATATAAAAGTTGTCAAATAAAGCAATTATTAACAATTATTTTAAAAAATTGAAATTTAAAAACTTTATAATACAAACCTGATTTATTGTCATTTTCGACCACTCCGTTGTAAAAACATAAATTGTTTCTTTACTATTGATACTGAGTATGTCTTTTTTTTTGTAGTTGCACGCTTTTCGATTTGACAGTGCTAAATAATTCGTACAGTAGTGCGTGATATTATTTTTGATTTATGAATATTTTGTACTATAAAAATGGCACATGTTTATGAAAACAATTAATTAGTGGACATAATATTAACTTACGGGGAGTGTCAACAAAGTGCAGCCGCACATATGTCGCTTGTACGCGGAAATGTTCCATTTACGAAATCATCTGGCTCTGCGGATGTTTGTAAATTTAATTATAAGACTCCGCTATACAGGGTATTTTAAGGAACAACGAGGAGGTCTCGCTGAAAGATAAATTGTTTGTTTACTAATGTGGATCTAATGCTCGCTAGATCGTTTTTGACAATTTCTAAAATTTCTTCCTCGATCTCCACCATTTCACATGGAGGAGGTCTTTCAGCGTGACCTCATTGTTCCTTTAAATACCCTTTGTCACGGAGTCTTATAACTAAATTGCATTTTGTTGACACTCCCCGTAAGTTAATATTATGTCCACTAATTAATTGTTTTCATAAACGTGCCATTTTTATAGCACAAAATATTCATAAATCAAAAATAATATCACGCACCACTGTACGAATTATTTAGCACGGTCAAATCGAAAAGCGTGCAACTACAAAAAAAAAAGACATACTCAGTATCAATAGTAAAGAAACAATTTATGTTTTTACAACGCAGTGGTTGAAAATGACATAAGTGAGGTTTTGTATTATAAAGTTTTTAAATTTCAATTTTGTTTAAATAATTGTTAATAATTGCTTTATTTGACAACTTTTACATAAACGATTTTTGGTAAGTTCTACCAGCTGTTAAAATAAATGACTCAACACTGAGAACACCCTGTATACTGATGAAAAAATCTATGAAATTCTTGCTGTTGAGGTTTGGAGAAACTTCGCAATATGAATAAAGACTTTAGATTTCTGTTGATGTACGATTTGTAAAATTTTTAAAAACTCGTGGTATTCCATCACATGCTCAAATTAAAATAACTGTGAAAATAACATACAAAATATGGAATAACCCCCGTATTAGTTATAAATTTTAAATTAATCTTTCAACCTAGGTATTAATTGGCGTTGATTCTTAAAAGACATTTATTTTTTTGATCACCTAGTTGTATTAGTTTAGGAAATATTTTTGAATGAGTAATAAATTTTAGTTTTACACTATACTCAGATCACTTCTGTAAATATTTATGTATATGTACTAATAAAAAATGATTTTTATGTAGTTTGCTATCTTTATTTCTACCTCACAATTAGAGCTCGACATTTACGTGCAAAGTCAGTGGCATCACTAAGATATTTAAAAGTAGTAGTTATTTATAATTTTTTTGACTCAATTCCAATAATATCATTACTCTGATTTTTCTTTGACACAATGCATGTGAAAAGACAATCAACGGTTTCAGAGTAATGGCTACTTGTGTGCATATTTTTGCCAAAACAATTGAAAAAAAATCATTATTGGCCACATATATCAATACTACAGACACCAATAATAAAAATTAGGTTATATAAATGAAAATGCCCAGTATGGCAGCTGTAAGACTCGATTTCTTATTTGCATTTCTTCTTTCAGTAAATCATAAAGCTGATAGGAAATACAGTGTAAGTCAAAACATTTATTACATCCAACAAAACATTTTTAAACTTCTTTATCACACTGAGACACGAACCTTGCCCCACGATACAAACCTCGTTTTATTTAAGCAAAAGCAACAAACCATAATTTTAGATCTTTTTTTAACAACTTTAATTTACCGACAATTTTAAAGTTTAAATACATTTAAAAATAAGTAAATTATTTTAAATACAGGGTGTCCCGAAATTGATGCAACAAACTTTGGTCATAGATTTTTAAAGCAAAGTGACTGCAAAAAACCTGTGATTTTCCCCCGTTTTTTCACAATTCGCAGAGAATTAAAAAGATACATAAAAATATGTTTTTGGTTGCAAATTACTTGTCGTAAAAAACTGAAATGAGCAGCTTTTAGTATTTTGAAAATTTTAAAAATGAAGAATTTGAATACTACCAATTGATGTAAAAACTATTAGCATGTGAATTATCTTTTTGGAATTTTTACAATTATTTCCGATATTCTCTATTTTTGGGAGATGATTCCACCCCCTGAGCGCGCTTAACCCTTTCACTGCTCCAGACGTATATATTCCCTAAAAATTTATAGGGCTCAAACTGCTCCGAACGGATTAATTCGCATGAATAGTTAAATTGGATCAGGCTGCTCAAACCGTATATATTCGCAACCATGCGCATTAGTGACTCGGTTATTGCAATTGGTAAGGCGAATTTTTGCGGGCGAGCTTATACCGATTGTGACAAATATTTTTATTGAAAGAGTTACTGGTAATAGTACCAAGATTGTTCATGTTTCTTTCAGTTTCTATTTAGTACATATACTGTATTTTATTCAAAATAAAATCATAAAATTTATAGTAAATCGTAATTTAACACAACATAATGTAAAACTATAAGTGGTCTAACTGCTCCAGACGTATATATTCACATGCGATAAACTTTCACGCACGGCGCAGTAGCTACGTTCAGATGTATTGCGCAGCGAAAGGGTTAAGGGTGGATTTTCTAATTCAACATGCTTATTTCAGTCATGAGAATAAATCTTTCTATGTATCAAGAATCATTTGGTATAAAAATTCACATGCTAATAGTTTTTATATTTATTGGTAATATTCAATTCTTCATTTTGGGAGTCTTTTCGACCCCTAAAAGGGGTGATTTTTGAAAATTTTTCAAAAAACTGCTATGCACATCTTAATTTTTTTGCGCCGAGTAATTTGAGACCAAAAACATAACTAAGCTGCCGATCTGAATTTAGAAATATTAAAACGGTGGACCTCAAGGATCCATTTTAGGTCCTAGACTTTATTAATACATGTAAATGATTTACATACTTGTGAACCAAATTGTAATTGTAGTAACACAACACAATATCCCTTCCGAAACAGTTGGCAATAAAATAATTTTTGAATTTGTTCAATATTCTTCAGCAACAGTTAAGTTTTTGAGAGTTATTTTGGACTGATTTTGAATACTTTATAAGTTATCAAATCATATATGATTTGTAATTTAAAGAATAATATATTTAGAAACATGCTACCATGATTTATGCCATATTAATCTGGGGGCCATTTAACCAATGTGTGTGTAAAGCGAGTTTACAAAAATTTAACAATTTCATTCAAATGTTTTTGAAACACTTCTCAAAATTTGAATGAAATATTTTATCTATACAGGCTGTTACAAATTTGCTTCTCACTACGGGGGGATCTTGGAAACAGTAAGATACGAACTAGCTTTTTGCAAAGTTGTGTAATCAGGGGACCAACATTATGCCTCTAAAAAATCAAGGCTAACATGATTAGTTTTCAAAGTATTTGAAAAAATCTGAAATTTTGGAAATCTGTTTTTGTTTCATTTCAGCCTTGTTTAAGGTGATATTAAAAGGAGAACACTTTCTCATGGCAACTTTTGATGCCATTATGCCCTCTATCGAATGGCATAATCAATTTTTATATGTAACGTTTCATTTTTCTGGAACCATCATCAACTTACTTTTTTAAATACAGCCCTATAAATTTTATTACATAAATTTTTCGAGACCAAACATCTGAATCTGGTTCAGGCTGAGGCAGTACAATATTGGGGGTTTTGAAGGCTTGCAAAAAATATTTCATATTTAGTCATTCCCGAAATAACATGATAGAAACAAACATTTTAATTTTAATTATTCTATTTTCTACAATTATTCAGACTTTGTTTTTTGTGTTTTACGATTGCTATGCCACTTCTTCACTAGTGTCAGTGACATGAAAACTGGTATCATTATTGGCAGAAATAGTGGAATGTAGACAGCATACCTAGAAATTATTCATTCTATTGTATAAATATCACAACTTTGTTTAGTAATACTTACTTTTGATCATGTGGGAAATACAACAATGCTAATAATGATGGGTCGCTAAATGCCCCTTCTGAATTCCAAAATGCGATTTTGGAATGTTTTAAAGCTAGATCTACATCCCCCTTTTGTAAGAATTTCTCAGCTAAGTCTGCATTTCCTACAGCTATATTAATTTTTTCTCCAACTTCGTCGCTGATCACAATGCTACCAATTTCTGACAGCAGCTGTGCTAGAGATTTTAACGTTCTTCTTGTGGAATCTATCATTTCCTCCGTTTTTCTAATTTTAAGTTTGTTAATATTATCTGCTTCAATTCCTTCAACGCCAAATAAATGTTGTATTTGAGTTATAAAAGTAGACACAATTAGTCTTAAATCAGGCTTAAATTGTTTAGTTTCGCATGAACTTTTATCGGGATTAACAATGTAAATGCCACCCCATCTAGGACTCAGAAAAGCATTTGTTGGAATTTTTATATTTCTATCACTATAAATATATAAGGGCGTGGAGCAGTATGAAAAGTATAACACTAAATTTATAGTAGGTCTCTGTGAAAGATGAGACCACATTTTTGTTTCCAAAGGACTTATAATATGAGGCAACTGACTTTCTTGTAAAGCAAAATGATCCGACATCTTTCGTGGATTAATTCCTAGGTCAGTCAAGTATAGCCATTGCGATTTAACGACAAAATCGGCAATGGGTGATATTGCTTTTAAGAATGGTTGCATGTTTTTGTCAATATCTTCTCCATTCAACTCTATTTCTATACCACTTGGATCCGGATGGACAAAAGTAATTAGTATGTCATAATCTAAACTCAATGGAATGCCAAATGCTTTATTGGATTTATTTTTTAGTTCCACTTCATACATTTCGCTAATAGGTAAATTTGCTCTATAAACTCGTGTTGTATACCACCAAACTGGTAATCCGACAATCACTAATATGAAAAAATATGAAAGTATGCTGTATACTCTGTAACCAGATTCTTTTTCATCTGAAGCAAAAATAAAATAATGTTTATATTGTAAGACAATATATATTTAAAACGATTACCTCCCGCGTTAGCTGCATTTGTAATTTTATTTGTAAGTTCTTTAGATGTCATTTTTGTATCGCTTAAAATATGTTATATTCAACTACAAACAAAACTGTAATATTAATATTACATTGCCTTTATGAACTTGAAGTGTTATTTTATAGGTTAAAGAAACAGGAAACGTCAAGGAAGGTATTAGGTTAGGTTGATTTTTATTCTAATCGATTTCGATCAAGGGATTTAATGAGAGTGAGGATGTGATCGTATTAAACCAATAGTAGCATCATAGCTCTGTAGTCTATGCTATCTCTAGCCTTGTTGCTCCACTGCTCTCGTATTAGAGCAGATCATATAATACAGTGTATTAAGCTGTGATGTATATGGAGGAATCTCAGAACATATTTTCCATATCATTAGAAATCTCTTAATTAAAATCTAAAACAATACAAATTGTTAGTTATCCATCTGATCTGATACTGATATCGTAGTATCGGACACAATCGAATCTTTCCCCGGATCTAACCCAACCCATTTACAAGAATTTATTTAATACCTATATTCTATTTATATTATAAAAAGGTAGATAGTTTATTAAAACATCAATTCGAGCACCAAATTATCAACAGCTCCGGATTAAAAAAAATTTGATCATAAACTAGAAACAGGGTTGTTCCCACATTGCCAAACTTATACAAAATTTTATAAAATTGTGCTGTATCATAAGTGTCATAACTTTCGAGAGCAGTAAGCTACTATAAATAAATATTGCAAACGTAAATTAAAATCTGAAAAAAACGTCTTTCTGATATTTTATTTTGCCTCAAAAAGTAACTCGAGATATAGTGCCTCTACTTTATAAATAATTATAAATATATATATAAAATTGTCCAACATACAGTGTTCGTAGACTAGATTGAAGAGAACTGAAGTAGGGTAGGGATGGTCTGGAAATTTAAATAGTCATGGACATATATCTGTACCTTTTTTGAAATTTAGTACTATAGACTAGATTTTAATGCTTGCTGTATTGAAGAGTTGAACCTATTCATATTTTAAATGTTTCCATTTTGCGTAATAGTTAAAAAGTTTTTATGTAGGTGTTTACCAGTGAAAGTGTTCGCAAATTTAACTACTTATGCTCACTTTTCAAAATACATAATAAAGTACTTTGATAAATTTTAAAAGGTGACCCTTTTTAGTTATTTTAAACAAAAAAAGTAAATAAAATATTTCTGAAGCTGTGTGATGTAGAATGATGAAACTTATAGATTAATGATTTATCTAATTAATAAGAAAAATCCACTTTATTCGGAGCTGCTCTCACTGAAAATCCAAGAAATTCGGCGCTGCTGGAAATTTTGAAATTTCGATTTCTATACTTCTTATGGTATTTCCAATATGAAGAAAGTTACGGAACACTTCATATTAGATCTAACGCAACTCTGCAAAAAACAGTTAATAACTTTATTTCAAAATATAAGGCAATCATGAAAGCCCGAAATTTTTTTTTCCGCGTCACATCCCTTTATATTATTGCTATCTCAACATATAATGCAAAATCTCAATTAATAAATTAAATCGAGATTAATTTTTAGATCGTTTCTAGAAAAATGAGATAATTTTAGTTATTTTACATTTTCCAGAGTACTGGGAATAATTTTAATAAAAATTTAAAAAATAAATTGCAAACGGCTTCTTTGTTGAATAAAACATGAATTGAATGAATGAAATTGAATACGCACCATTGAAACTAGTTTTAATACTGGGAATAAAAAAATTATAATTTTAAAATTTTGATTCAATTTCAACCTTATATCTCAAATCATTGATTCGAGACCTACGTTTGTTATAGAGGGTGGTCCCGCGGTAATGGGCCGAATTACATGGGTAGATTCCCGAAGCAAAAATATTGCGATTTAGCCGAAGTTACACCTTAGTCAAAAAGTTGATAGCTAAACAGATACAGGGTGTTAAACGTAAAATATTCCTTTACAATTATTTTATTTCCATTTACTTCCTAATAAATGCAAATCTGCACAAAATCTTGGGGTTTGGGGATCTTTGGGTAGAGAAGTTGACTTGTTCACATTTGGCTTATGCATAGTTCATAGAAGGCACCCAGCTGCCATATAGATTGAATGTGTTATTGAAAATCAGATCAGGGAGACTTGGCCTCCATGACCAAGATCTTTATACTGGATCTTGATTGAAAACGACATAACTTTTTTGTACTTTAAGGTATCTCATCTCTGGTATCAAATTCTTATTTTCCATTTTTTTTACGCGAAAGATGGACTTCATGAAAGTAGCTGTCTCGTATCGTTTCCGAGATATTTGGCTTTGAAACGTACGCTGAATAGTTGATGGAAATAATTAAAATAATTTAGAAATGTCAAAAATAAGTGTTTATTTAGAATTAAAAATTGTAGTGAACAGTAAAATAGTAAATATTAGTAAAAATATGCCTTTTTGACAATAATTGCTCAAAATGTCCACCTTAACTTCAATACATTTATCAACGCGTTTATTAAAAGATTATCTTATTTTAAAGTATAAATCGTTAACGCGAAATGACAGCGCATTTAAAACCTGCTGCTAAACTTCTCAGTTGTTTATAGTTTCTCCCTAAACAACTAATTTCATGTAACTCTAAAAACGAAAATCGGCATTCTATCTCACATTTATGTATATAAAATTTAAATTGTAAGCCAAGATGTAATTTTAATTAGGTACGAATAAACCTTAATAGAAATTAGAAACTTTACCCCTAAATTAATAATAAGTACTAAGTAGGTACCTATAACTCTTCGAACCAAGTCGTGATGAAAATCCTTGAACGTCTTATTTCCTTCCTTTTTTTGCAAAAACTGAGAATTAAAATGTATAAAAGTAAACGCGACAAAAATCGAAAAATTGGCTGTTTGAGCGGCCATATATCGGTCAATTTTCATCCAAAAATACTTTGCCTCGTTTTGAAGGAAATTTTATACTTTTTTTTCTATGAAGCAATGCCTATACCTCTACTCAAAAAAAACTTGGGGGCAAAAAGTAAAAAAAATCAGAAAATCGAATTATTTGCTTTTTATTTCAAATTGTTTATTAACGATTATTTTGCATAAAATTTTCCTTTTAAATTTTTTAAATAAGCTGCCCATGGTAAATTCAATTCTTTAAATAATTTTTCCTATGAACTATAGCGAAATTTTGCTTCGTTTTCGAGCTACAATTAAAAAACTGAAGGGGTGCATTTTCACCCCCCATCTCCAATTTCCACCCTCTAATTTAATAGCTCCCCGGTTTTTCATCTCAAATGACCCTTTAAACGATTCATGTAATAAAATATCTTGATCATAGTTCCCTTTAAAATCCTCTATTCTGTCTAAAACTCCCAAAATTTTACGAGGATAATTGGCATTTCTGAATAAATGAAAAATTTTACATTTAACACCCTATATTAATTATCAACTTTTGGACAAAGGCAAATTTGGTTAAATCGCAAAATTTTTGCGTGGGGAATGTACCCATGAATTTTGGCCCATTATCTCCAGACCACCTTATATACCATTTTTTTAATTTCAAATTACTCAAAAAAATTGGTTTGTCTACATATTTATTTGACATCATGTATATTACATTACTTTTTAATTAAATCAACTTATTTTTAAGCGACATTATTTAGCTTATGAACATCGAGAATAAAAAAATTAAAAATGTAATTATTTTTATTAAAATGAACTCGGTACAGTTGCTCTTTTGGTTAGATACTCTAACACAGCCAAAACTACAAAATATGTGACAACGTACATCACAAAAAAAAAATAAATACAATGAAAAGAAAGAACGGTACAAAATAGTTACGGAATAAATTATGTACAAAAAAAAAGGAATGAACCTGAACATATTACAACACATGTTCCAAAGTCTTACACCATTTAATCAACTTCTTCCATGCGGGAAGCATCCTCAGCATCACCAGCCTCTGCTGTGGGGGCATCCCCTGCTGGAGCTTCATCCGTAACCATAGCTTCTTCCTCGTCAATACCCAGACCCAGCTTAATCATCCTGTAGATCCTAGAAGCATGGACTTGAGGTTCGTCTAGGGTGAATCCAGAGCTAAGTAGAGCGGTTTCAAAGAGGAGAATAACCAAATCTTTGACAGCCTTATCGTTTTTATCAGCTTCGGCTTTCTGACGTAGATTCTCAACGATAGGATGATCTGGATTGATTTCGAGATGTTTCTTGGCAGCCATGTAACCCATGGTGGAAGTGTCACGAAGGGCCTGAGCTTTCATGATACGTTCCATGTTGGCCGACCAACCATATTGGGATGTTACGATGCAACATGGAGATTCGACTAGACGATTGGATACAACTACTTTTTCCACCTTATTGTCCAAAATGGTCTTCATGACTTTGCACAGGCCTTCAAATTTGGCCTTATCCTCCTCACGTTTCTTCTTTTCTTCATCATCTTCCGGCAACTCCAAACCTTCTTTGGTTACGGAAACTAAGGATTTACCGTCGTATTCCTTTAGCTGTTGAACAACATACTCGTCGATGGGTTCGGTCATGTAGACTACCTCGAAGCCACGTTTCTTGACACGTTCGACAAAGGCCGAGTGCGCTACTTGTTCTTTGCTTTCGCCCGTGATATAGTAGACGTGCTTCTGGTTCTCCTTCATGCGGCTGACATAATCCTTGAGCGAGCAGGCTTCGTCTCCACTGGCAGAAGTGTGGTAGCGTAGTAAATCTGCCAATTTGGCCCTGTTCTGCGAGTCTTCATGGATACCCAACTTGAGGTTCTTCGAGAACTGTTCATAGAACTTCTTGTAGCCATCCTTATCATCTGACAATTCTTCGAAGAGTTCCAAACATTTCTTGACTAAGTTCTTACGGATGACTTTGAGGATCTTGTTCTGTTGCAACATTTCACGAGAAATGTTTAGAGGCAAATCTTCGGAATCTACAACACCCTTAATGAAGTTGAGGTATTCTGGGATGATGTCTTCGCAGTTGTCCATAATGAATACACGGCGTACATACAATTTGACGTTATTTTTGCGTTTCTTGTTTTCGAAGAGATCGAATGGCACACGACGTGGTACAAACAGAAGAGCACGGAATTCCAGCTGACCTTCTACGCTGAAATGTTTTACAGCCAGATGATCTTCCCAGTCATTGGTGAGCGATTTGTAAAATTCACCATATTCTTCTTGACTGATATCGTCTGGATTTCTGGTCCAGATGGGTTTCGTCTTATTTAGTTCTTCGTCTTCAGTGTACTTCTCTTTAATGGTCTTCTTCTTCTTTTTCTTTTCGTCTTTCTTGTCCTCGTCTTCATCTTCTCCTACATCCTCAATTTTTGGTTTATCGGTGTCCTCCTCATCCTTCTTTTCCTCTTCAGCCTCATCATCGCTCAGTTCCTTTTCCCTCTCTTTCTCTACCAAGAGTTTAATTGGGTATCCGATAAACTGCGAATGTTTCTTAACGATTTCCTTAATCTTATTTTCTTCTAGGAATTCAGTTTGATCTTCCTTGATGTGTAGAAGGATTTTTGTACCACGACCCAGTGGTTCTCCATGATCAGGGCGGATGGTGAAGCTTCCGCCAGCAGAAGACTCCCAGATGTACTGCTCGTCATCATTGTTTTTAGAGATTACCGTGACTCGATCGGCAATCAAGTAAGCAGAGTAGAAGCCTACACCAAACTGACCAATCATACTGATATCTGCGCCTGCTTGCAACGCTTCCATAAAAGCTTTAGTTCCAGATTTTGCGATGGTACCCAAGTTGTTGACCAGATCTGCCTTAGTCATACCAATACCAGTATCAATAATGGTAAGTGTGCCCTCATTTTTGTTTGGGATGATTTTAATATGAAGATCCTTGCCGCTGTCCAAACATGATGGATTTGTGAGCGACTGGTAACGGATTTTATCCAGAGCATCTGAAGAGTTGGAAATCAGTTCTCGCAGGAAAATTTCCTTGTTCGAGTAGAAAGTGTTGATGATCAAACTCATCAACTGGGCAATTTCTGCCTGGAAGGCAAAGGTTTCAACTTCACCATTTTGGTTTTCTTCAGGCATCTGTAACAAAAATCACAAATTTAGTATCCACAATACTACATTGTTACATAAAAAAATATCGCTAAAATTATTAACGCTACAATTTAATATAAATTGAACAAATCGAATAATGCAGAACGTTTTACGTAGCAAAAATTAGCAGAACACAAAACAAAATCGTTTTCTACCTAAAACTAATAAGATTCCAAAAGATTCCAAATTTAGGAAAAAACTTAACAAGCACCGCCATTCTAGCCGCATGGTCAAGTAACAAAGGCCGGCAAATTTATGAACGAAATTTTCAACAGAACTTATGTCAAAAGTTGTATTAAAAAAAAAATAAAAATTATTCATACCTTGTATAATTTAACGCACAAATTTACACCTTACAGACACAAACGTATTTTATAAAAAGGTTTTGTAAATTCGCTTTAAATTATCGCTTCGTCTTAACGATCGCTTTCACAGTGCTGAATCAATTCTGACACGCTCGTGTTTTGTCGGTTGCTTATATAGCCTACTTATTTCGAGAACAATCCAGAACCCTTTGGAAGCTTTCGGAAGAGAATCGAAGTTCTTGAATCGTTCTTTGAGTCAGATGGAAAGATCTGTTTTCTCTTTCTACTTCCGCTGATTTACGCGGTAAATTTAATAATATCTATTCTGGTGCATATTTTATATTAATATAATATCAAAATATTTTCTGAATGTAATTACTTTTTGAAATATTATTTTGGACAATCATAGTTAGTTTTATGGAATGTTTGTTGTAACATCTTAAAACTTCAAGTGACTGAGGTTTTAAAAAGAGAATGTAGGTAACTTATTTTATGAAATTTTATGAATTATCAAATAATACCTAGAATAGCAATACCAATAGGTATAAAATTATAATGTAAATGTACTTACGGTACCTATATCCGCCAGTAGTAAAAAAATTAACAAATGCTTATAAGTAGGTACATTATTTTAATGGTTTTAGTATGAAATAATAACTAAAGGTATAATTAAGTCAAACTAATTTCTTTAATGAATAGATAGATACCTAAGTTGGTATCTAACCCTTCCAAAAACTATTCTTATTTTTCTTAAATTTTCATTCCTCATTGTCACGTTTAAGAAATCTGTTTGGTAGGCTTAAATCCTTCCTAATTCATCTACATATAGTATTAATTTCTGTATACAAAATTTAGCTAGGTATTTCAATTCATTACATGAAATACCTACCAACCCTATATTTCCAACAGAAATTCCTGTTTATATTTAAAAAAAGAGTGATAATAATTATTAATACCTACAATGAATAAGATATTTAAAAAATAGACTTGTGTCACCGTAAGTTCATTTTTTTTACGGAAAACCTTGTATAAAAATATTAGAATAAAATAGAATAGTACAGAACTTTCAACCTTCTAGAAAATGTTTACCAGGATCATTTATCTAGGATGTTTACCAGGAAATGGAAATAAAACATTTTCTAGAAACATGTACGTTAATATTCGACCAGAATTATATTTCATGAGGGCGCCAGCTTCGTCAATGTATTTTTATTGATTGTATATCCGTTGATACCTTGAGCATAATAGACTACACGGGGAAAGCTCCGCGTATTAAAAAGTGTAGACGCTATAGAGAGAAAAGGCGATAGTTACGAAATACGCTCTCTCTCTAATCGTTGAGGAACGAGCTGCGTTAGCCAATCACATGCCTGCGCGAAAGAAAAAGATAGTATCCAAAGCAATGAATAATACGTTTGTTGTTGTATGTTATTGTTTGTATGTTAGCTAGAAACAATCCTATAACAGTATTTTTTAAATTCTTGTTTCATATTTTGGTTTTTTATAGATTGTATTCACTATATCCGAAGAAAATCAAACATATAAACGCGAGGTTTATAGTCACTAATTTGCGAATTGCAATTTGCAGACATTGTTATGAATGGTCAATTTTAATATAACACAGAAATGTTTCTCTAAATCAGCCTATCAGAATGACCTCGGATTTATATTGGTGCTTGCTTATAATTTAACATTCTTTAATAACCGTTGTTACGTTAATGGAGACTCCATGGTTCCGTTCTTCTGTGTTCCTTATTCTGTGTAACTTCAAAATTTAAAAACTTGTAACGGTTTTGAATTTGAAAATTGAGATTAATCCTTGTTTTTAAATTGTGTTTTTAAGTGAAATATGACTACAGCAGCGCAGAAAAGTAAATCTGCAATTACTCTTAAGGGATCTGCTGAAATTGTTTGTGACTATTTAAGTATGTTTTTTAAATAATACTGTATTTTGAGGTTATGATATTATAATATTTTTAGACTATGGAATTAATTCTATTTTATATCAACGAGGTTTATATCCTCCGCAATCGTTTAAGTCCGAAGAAAATTATGGATTAACTATTTTAATGTCTACAGATAACAAAATCCGAGAATTCTTATCCACGACTTTAGGCCAATTGAAAGGTTAGTAATTTGAAAAATGTGTCGAATTAAGAATGTAACATCATTTACATTTGTAGGATGGCTTATTAATCGATCTGTAAATAAAATAGCTCTTGTGATAACAAATGTAAAAACATTGGAAGTTATGGAAAGGTGGGATTTTATAGTGGAATATGAGGGGGACACTAAGACTGAGGAACAAACAACCGATAAGCCTATAAAACAAATAAAAAATGAAATAAGGGATGTTTTAAAACAAATAGCTTGTTCAGTGGCATATTTACCTCTTTTAGACTGTTTGTGTAGTTTTGATATTCAGATTTATACCAAAAATGATGTTGATTTACCTTCTGAATGGACTGAGGCAGAACCGGCTAACATAAAAAATGCTCAAAGTGTAAAAATGAGATCATTTTCTACGAACATTCATAAAATGGATACTGTTGTCACCTACAAAAATTATAATTAGGTTGTACCGTTCTTAAATTTAATTTTACATCTTTTTGTGGTATACCTACTATTTACTTCCTTTGATGCTACTTTACTTTTTTTTTTATTATTTCATGGTATTTTTGCTTGGGGTAGGGCCAGGGCTGCAAGCTGTATGGAGGCCTCTAAATAAAAAAATAAATAAAAATAAAAGTCACACAATCAGCGACTTACCAATTAAAATATTAAAAACTTAAACACGTTTTGATTTGATTCTAAAAAAAAGGTCAGGCAGGGCATGCACACCCCTGCCCTTCCCTAGCTATGCCCATGATTATTTTATATTTTAGATTTGTAGTATATGTTTTTGTATCAAATAACTAACTACACAATTTTAATATATAAGCATTAAATATTAGGTACTTTTCTTTCTCATTTTTTATCCCAACTAATTTTTTTGGAAGGGTAAATATTTTCTTGAGAGTTTTTTCTTTTAATAGTGTATTTGGTCTGTCAGAAATTGTAAAAATTGATGCACCAACTGACTATATTGCTGGTGTACGATATGATACCATTAGCTGAATACACACGCAAAGACTTATTGGAGCGATAAATTGTACTAAATAATCGTCGGATAAATTTTTACGAAAAATGTTTCAGACAAATTTTAGAGTGGACACTAATGCGAAGTTTTATTGAATCGAATTATGGTACAAAGTTTATCTGACTGTTTATTCATTACGCTTATGTCATTCACAAAGATTTATCTCTAAATTTGGTAAGATTATTCTGTCATCGTTGATCTTTCGGAAGTCCAAAAAATTAGGAATTTATTTGTTACTCGTAAGTGTAGTTTGCTATGAAACATGAACTAAAACGACTGTAAATTAATGCATTTTATTATTTGGAATGATGGGTTATGTGATAATAAAACGACGCAGAAGAAGTAAAAAACCAACAAAGTGGGTTAAAACATGGTTATTGAGGAAAGAATACAATACGCCACTAATTCCTTATAACTCATTTTTAATATTTTTATTTGTATATTCTAGTGAGGTTGTTTTCCATTAACACGGGTGATTATGATATAAATTGATCAGTCCACTAATAAATTCTTTTGATGCCATATTTAAAATTGTAGAATGTTCTGAACTCAAGACAGAAATTAACCGACTTTACATATCGCGCATATACAGGGTGTCCCGGAAATGGTGGGCAATCTCTCGGATATGGATAGATAATGAGAAAATAATGTCACAAGTTCATATAAATTTTTTTCCTCCGGGCTCACCCTGTAGAGTTATTAGCTCTTGAAGTTGAGAATTAAAAATGTTTTTATTGCTAACTTTTGTATTTTTCAATAAATTTTGAAAATTGTTTGGCTGGATCTATAATTTTTGAAGCTGCTTTGGATGATAATATGAAATGCTCGATAATAATTATGGGGGCCGGGGGGGCAAAGCACCCCCCACCGAAATTTCTAGAAAAAAAATTTTTGTTCCACTATACCCCAAATTTTCCATCATTTTATAAAAATTTATGGTATTTTACGTAAAAAAGGTATACTTGTTGAATATCCATAAAATATAATTTTGTATAATTTTTAACGTGTACTGACAGTTTCTAAAGTGTGATTTTATAACGGTGGTCTTAAAGGTAAATCACATGACTTACTTTTAACACTAGTGCTAAAAATAATTCACTTTTAACACTAGTATCATAAAATGAAATTTGTCAGTCAATTTCATTTTATTGACAGCATGCGTTAAAATTATACCTTAATGACGTTTGTAGAAAAAACAAGTTTAGAGACAACGGTACTGTTTAATTTGAGACATTTTATTTAACAGAAACACAGGTTTAATTGTAGTTGGCTTTTACATATCAGAATAAAGGACAAATAATTTGCAATAGCAGTGTTCCAAATTATGGGAATTTTTAGTTAACTAAACTCACTAAACGAAAAGTGCATGACAATTAAAATTTTGTAACTAATATAATTCATAATAAATTCTCAATATTAGTTCCACCTTCTCTTATACAAATACGAGCTCGTTTAACAGAAGACTGTTGCACTCTCCATAACATTTCAGGATTTTGTCGTATTTCATTTGCACAATAAAAAATCCTTTCTTCTAATTCTTCTCTAGTGGTTACAGGTGTGGAATAAACAAGATTTTTCAAGTGCCCCCAAAAGAAAAAGTCAAGTGGGTTCATATCTGGAGTTCGGGCAGGCCAATGAATAGGTCCACCGCGACCTATCCAGCGATTAGGATATACCTCGTTTAAATGGTCCCTTACTGCAGCACTAAAGTGAGGCGGCGCCC